TCGAGACTATATTGATGACAAGGATGCGTGGTCAGTTCAGTCTGCACATATTTGATGTACTTAAATTTGACTATTCTTACCGTTAGATAATTCCTGGCAATAAGTGGTGACTGAGTTTGTTCCGGCGTTTCTTCTCAGCACTTGCCATATGTTTGTCTCGAAGCGCTGGTAGGGCCCAAAAGATAAGGAGACATGTAAAGTGCCCCATAAGGGCTACCTAATCTTTTTTTATTATTTTCTATTGACGTTCATAAGTGCCACTTGTGGTCTAAACTGAATAAATATTTTTAATTTTGATTGATTGATTTTGATTTTGAGTTAAGCGCTAGACTTATAGTAATATAGACAGTACGCCAAGCTTAACGACTGGCAATTCATGTAGTCATATTAAGTGCTATTTTGCAACAATAAATGTATAATCTTATTACGATTTATCGATAGTAGGTATCTACATTAATTGTCATTTGCACGTGTAATATGAACACAAGCGCTTTAATCGGTAACTAATTCATATACTTACATAGTAATAATTAAATGTGGTTAAAACCAGTGTTGGCACTAATCAATTAATTTTTTAATCAATTAATTAATTTGATTAATTTTAATCATGATTAAATTAATCCTGATTAAAATAATCATGATTAAAAAAGTAATCATAATCATGATTAATTTGTTAATCATTAATCAATAATCATTAATTTGATTAACTTGATTAACTTCTTAAATGTTCTATCGAAAATAATGTNCGACAGTACAACTCCAGTACCTCTAGTACGAAAAACTTTCGAGTTCGTTTCGTTGCGTATTCAAAGTGTCATCGAAAAATTTTGTATGAAAAATTAAACAGCGCCCCCTAGGGCGGCTATAATGTAGGGGGCGCTGTTTAATTTTTCATACAAAATTTCTCGATGACACTTTGAATACGCAACGAAACGAACTCGAAAGTTTTTCGTACTAGAGGTACTGATCTCCCCTTTGCTAGATATTTTATAAGTCGCGGGTACCTTTTCATACACTCCCAACCCTTTTCTTATGAAAATAGTAGATAGTTAATCAAATAATCAAATTAACGATTAATGATTATGATTAATTAATCTTAATCAAAATTTTTGATTAATGATTAACTAATCATAATCAAAAAAATTTGATTATGATTTTAATCATTAATTTTTAATCATTAATCAGATTAACTTTTTGCCAACACTGGTTAAAACCGCACTAAATGATTCGATTGACGTAATTAATTCACGCTGAAAATGAGCTTTCACTTTGTTACAAACCAAGTGGATAGTAGACGTTATATTTTTCATTAATTAATTAGTTCTGATAAAAGCCCTTTAAAGCTTTTAGAGCTTTAATACGGATAGGTACTTTGGTTATTAAAAACACTGACTATAAAGATGTTTAATGAGTAATAATTTATTAACTAAATGAGCAATGAAGCTGAATTTTAAATATAAAGCGATGAACCTTTAAGCTTTATCTTGATATGCCCACGAATTCTTCTAAGTAGATTTCGATAAAAGAAACCTATTTATAGCATAGTTACGTCCTATACCTACTGATGTAGATACTTACGCGTAGGTACCTGTATATTACCTACATATTATATGTTTATAGTATAGGTAATTCCAGGATACATGCCCCAGAGGGATAGGTGCCGCGATTTTAAGTTCACTATGTTACAACCAACTTAGCCTAAAGTTATTGTACGTATAATAGAAAGGTACCTCCCCGTACCACTTTGAGCCTCGCAAACCATCAAAGAGTGGGTTCGTTTAGCCAGTGAGAGTAAAAATCTTCCGCGGCCAGACCTTATCGAGCGTCGAAATAATATTGGTAAGTATCTTATAATGGATAATTTTTTTGTCAGTTGTAAAATGAAGCAGATTTTTATATAATTTGATAGACTATCTTATGAATTATACGGGATAGCTATGTTTAATTCGATTTTTAGTGTTATTATATTTTTTATTAAAAAAGGCACCTATCCTATGCTAAAAGGATAGTTGCCTAATTTTTTTTGGGTATAGATGCCCTTAGGGCCATGTCCCATGCACCTAGGGGCATCTATCCTAACCTGCTCTTTTTGTCACAGGTAGCAAGTAAGAAGAAAAAAAGAATGTAGTACGGTTAACCTTAGGAAAGTAATAAATAGGGGTGCCCTTCTGATCGAATAACCTTTTTACCCGACTGCGCTAGAAGGAGGGTTATGTTTTTCGGGTGGATGTATGTATTATTTTTAATAAAAAAATATTAAATTTCATTTTTAATTAAAAGTCTTAAGTAATAATACTTGGCTTGTTTGATTACAAAATGCATTTTTGATCCTTAGAATTCAAAAACTGTATTATCAGGCATCTATCCTTTGAAGAATTCATACAGTGAGTCTTCTATCCCCCACATTAGGCGTCTTTCCCACATTTAAGAGGTCAATTAAAATGGTATTTACTCAGAATCGGTATAACTTAAACTAAAATAATTATGGTAATATCATAGACGAAAGACCAAAGTTTACAGATACTAAGATCAAATTGTTGATAAAAACTTACTGACTGAGTTATAGAGCTGTTTCAAAAAGTGGGGCATCTATCCTGGACTTACCCTAGTATAGTATAGTAAAGTTTCATCAAAATCAGTCCATTAGTTTTGATGTGACGGAGAAAAAACATTTATCCATCCTCACAAACTTCCGCGTCCATTGTTTATTAGTATAGATTACTCTTATTTTAGGAAGCGTATTCAATTAATAACGAATATTATTGAACTTCATTTTTCTTCTCTCTTTATTAATCGAATAAAGCTTTTATAATACCAGAATACCTACATGACGTTTATTTTTAACTAACCTTTCATCGCACATCTATCGATTGAAGATTGGAGTGAAAAGCGTCGACATGCGAATACTATTAACGCTGCATACATTCAGTTTTTAAACCGTGACGCAAATTACTCAAATATACGAGCAAATATTTACATTCCAGAATTAGATCGAAATCGATGTCTAGACGTATAGACTGTCTATCTTCAATTGTTTGGTAGGCCCATACAAGATTCGGATCGTGAGACAATGGCATGACATGTAGGTAGATACTACATTTTAATAGGAACGTCTCAGGAGGGCTTATAATTCCGTTTAGACTGGAGAGCATGCGATAAGCTGGTCTCTGCCGTCCTGCTAATAGCAGTCTGATGGAGATTGCATACTGCATGCATATGGCGGCGTATAAGGCAGCTAGAGCTGAATATAATATCTGACAATGTCAAAGATTTACCTGCATTTATTTCTAACGCTTTAGATTAATTTAAATCCAACTTACACCATTTATTTCTGTTTAACTCTTCAACACAGACTGGCTTTTTGCATAGTATAAAGTAAACCTAATCATCGCTTAGCTTACTTTATTCATGGGTTTTTTCCATATTTTTATAAGTATTAAACACGATGTAACGTGCAGTTTTCATGAAAATAAAATCTGTTTAGTTTTCGTCATCCTGACCCTGACACCCTGTATATTATGAAACTTAAACTATGTTGACACAGAGCGCGAGCGAGAGACAGACGAGGGCACCCAATCTAAACGCGTATCTCTTATTATTGGTGCAATAAGTGCGGTTTTGCAACATAATGTGTCGACTATACAATGTTGCTGTACTTATCTAGCATTTCAGAACATAGTGCAGCATTACAATAATCTCTCAAATGCAGGCGATAAGCTGTGCAACTGCAAACATCTACTTAGTGCTCAAAATGTCCTCAAAACGTCATTACTTTCGAATTAGAACTTCATGGATAATATCGTTCTAAGATTGTCTTGGGCAATCCGCTTAAGTTCGAGTACAAAGCTTATGTATGTGATAACTAAATGGAAGACACGTTACTTAGGACTATAAATAATAGATTTGGGACAAAATAATCTCACCCATTGTCTCCTATTCTCTAACTCTATCATAATGAAATGTACTAGGAGCGCAAGTCCACATACTTTGTGTTATTAATGGCACAAGGCCATCATCCACCAGAAAATAACGATAAAAAATTTACCCTATTAGGATCCGAACCTACTGGTTGAACAATGGACAGTAGGTATTTAGCCGCACCACCTTGTCATCCAGAATTATTCAATGTACCTAATATTTTACAAACTTTGTCGACTTCCTATCGCCAAAAATGTTTGGAAACTGCCTTAATTCAAAGCCTGCTAATCCGCCCTTTTCAACTCGCTAAGCGTGATTACGCAATTAAGCATCAGAAAGTTTCACCTTGGAATTTTCGCTTCCATTATTGTGATACTGTGAAATTAAGTAAAGATATTATGTTAGATGTATCTTTACACCACAGAGAATCATCACCGTCAGGTCATTTAGTCAGCGTTACAAGAAGAGAGGGTTCTCCATTTTACTAGAGGCATAGAGGAGTTGGCATAGTACACTCCTCACGCCTAGCTATAATAATATGGTTTTGGAAGGTTTGATGTTTGGAAATATTTTTCTTAGTTGCTTCTTACGACATCCACGGGAAGAGTGGGGGTAATCAAGACGGTTAAATATTATACAAACAAGGTTTTATTTAGAAATAAAATTACTGTTTCAAGAAAATACTTCCTACTCAGAATTTTTTTAAAATATTTATTTAACACTAGCTTTCCGCCCGCGGCTTCGCCCGCGTGGAATTTTGTCTGTCACAGAAAAACTTTATCGCGCACGTCCCTGTTTCAAAAACCGGGATAAAAACTATCCTATGTTCTTTCCCGGGACTCAAACTATCTCTATGCCAAATTTCATCAAAATCGGTTGCGAGGTTTAAGCGGGAAAGCGTAACAAACAGACAGACAGACAGAGTTACTTTCGCATTTATAATATTATATATATATATATATATATATATATATATATATATATATATATATATATATATATATATATATATATATATATATAATACATATATTATATATTTATATTATAATAAATATAATATAAATATATAATATATGTAGGATTGCAACACTGAGTGAACGAGAGAGCGATAGGAGTGAGTGAGAGGGAAGGAAAAAAGCACATGGCGGCACGACGGTTACGGACAAAGTTGTAGCTCTGTATTAAATTGAAGAAAAATAAACGTATCATTGAAGAAAGTGCATTTCCTTGCGAAGCCCCGTCCCTACAAATTTTGGGGGCTCGTCCGGGATAGTTATCTTCGCGGTGGACGGTGTACTTCGCGGGAAAATTCCATCTCAAAAGTACGAGCACGCGTGTTCAACGACTACGCCATTACGACGCCATTGTACCGGTGTGTGATTCAGACGGAATCAACGACGAAAACATGCCGAACTACGGTAAAGAGCGACGCAAAAGCCGGCAAGACGATTACGAAGACTGTGCTGAAGACAGCATCCCACATAACCCGACCCATATGTTGCAAATGACGGCGGAGTTGGTACCTAGATATAGCGGGAGGGATAGCACCTATCCCGTGACGCGTTGGGTCGAAGACGTCGAGAGCAACGCCGAAATATTTGGTTGGTCCCCGTTGCAGCAGCTACTGGTGGCGCGACGGTCGCTTACGGGCACTGCGCAACTATGGCTCCGAGCTGAACGTCCATTCAAGAGCTGGGACGATTTGAAGGCCGCAATAACTAAAGAATTCCCAGATACGGTCGATGTAAAGGCCATCCACGAGCTCATGAGCGCTAGAAAGAGGCGAGTGGATGAAACATGCCTCGACTACATGTTGATTATGAAAGAGCTGGGCAAACGTGGCAAGATGCCGGATTACGTTGCCATCAAATATATAGTGGACGGAATTGTTGACATCGAGACAAACAAGATGATGCTGTACGGCGTAACCACTTACTCCGATCTGAAAGAAAAGCTGAAGATCTACGAAACCATCGTGAGTAAGATGCAAAAATCGTCAGTGCCAAGAAATGAAGCGGAGTCATCCAAGCAGCAGCAAGGGCGGCAAGGTCACCGGCGCATCAGGTGTTACGGCTGTGGCGACGTGGGTCATGCATCTGCCAACTGCCCACACAAGAATAAAGGTCTAAAATGCTTCAAGTGCAATGAATTCGGCCATGTTGGTTCGACATGTACCCAAGTCACGAAGAATCCAGCTGTCGTGAAATATCGTGAGTCGTCGGGCAACTTCGGAAAGGCAAGGCAAGGCTACCAACAGCAAAACGCAATTTCGGCGAAGAGAGCGATGTTCGGAACGGTGAGCAGTGACGCGGCTAACTTCACTCCAGCGGACGACGGTGGCGCTCCGGGCGGGCGAACGGTGAACGACGAATCCAAGATGGCCTCGGTTGTCTATGGCAGTCATAATGACAGTGACAGCGACGATCTGTCAGTGAGTGAAGTTATGCAAGTGGTAAACAAACACTGTAAATCATTGAAGTGAAGAAACCGATATTGACGGCTAAAATAGGTGGACACAGCGTAAAAACGTTAATAGATTCGGGAAGTGATGTGAACATCCTAGCCTCGGACGTTTACGACGCGATTGGTAGTCCGGAATGTGAACAAGATGACATCACACTTTCAGGAATCGGACTAACAACCGTCCGATCGTCTGGGAAATGCCAGCTGCGTTTGTGTATCGATGGACAATACTACGATAATGTAATATTTCATGTAATAAGTAGGAATTTTGTTCCGTATGATGCGATAATCGGGCAAGAATTTCTGAATAATGTTACAGTAATGATGAATGGAGGATCTGTGAGGTTTGTCAATAAAGAGTGGACTCAGTTAGGTTGTTATGTTAGCAATACGTGTTCTGTTGATTCTGTTGTAGGTCCCATGGCAGATCATAACTTAAGACAAGAGGTGATCCAATGTGTGGAAAACTACAAGCCTCAACAAGTCAAGGAGGTGCCACTACAACTGAAGATCGTACTGAAGGACGACGTTCCTGTGGTCCAACGACCTCGCAGATTATCACTTATAGAGCAAGACATAGTGGAGCAACAGGTGTCTGAGTGGTTAGACAATGGAATCATTAGGGTGAGTTATTCTGAATATAGTAGTCCCCTGGTGCTTGTGAAGAAAAAGGATGGTTCCACCCGTGTATGTATTGATTATAGAATGTTAAATAAGAAAATTGTAAAAGATGAATTCCCTTTGCCTATCATTGAGGATCTAATTGATAAGCTGAAAGATGCTAAGGTGTACAGTGTGCTAGACCTGAAAAACGGATTCTTTCACTTGAAAATAAGTGAGGATTCGATTCCTTATACATCTTTTGTTACCCACCATGGCCAGTTTGAATTTTTGCGTGCTCCATTCGGACTATCAATATGTCCCAAATATTTCATGAGATTTATCTCAATAATATTCAGGGATCTGTTAGTAAAGGGTGAACTTATGATATTCATCGACGATCTGTTGATTCCAGCTAAAGATGAGGCCCAGGCTGTCCAACGACTTAAAAGCGTGCTTTTAATCGCAGAGGAATATGGACTAGAAATCAACTGGAAGAAAGCAAATTTGATAAGTCAAGAAATTGAATACTTGGGTCATAGAATAAAGAATGGTGAGGTTAGACCTACTCCAGAGAAAATTGATGCTGTTCTACGCTTTCCTAAGCCGACTTCAGTAAAGCAGGTACGCAGCTTTCTCGGGCTGACCTCATATTTTAGAAAGTATATTGAAAACTACGCAATGGTGGCGAAGCCACTCACAGACTTGTTACGGAAGGACTCATCTTTCAAGCTTGAAGATGAGCAGCTCATTGCTTTTGAAAATTTGAAGAAAAGACTTGGAGAAGGTCCGGTGTTGAAAATATATGATGCTAAATTACCTACAGAACTACACACTGATGCATCCTCCATTGCATATTCTGCTATACTGCTTCAGCTGCACATAGATGGATGGCATCCCGTATATTACATGAGCAAAAGAACGAGTGATGCTGAATGTAAGTACTCGAGTTATGAGTTGGAAGCATTGGCAATAATAGAAGGATTAAAGAAATTTCGTATCTATTTGTATGGAATTCATTTTAAGATTGTTACAGACTGTCAAGCATTTGAAGCGACATTGAGGAAAAGGGATTTGACACCTAAAGTGGCTCGCTGGGTTTTGTTTTTGGATCAATTTGACTATGAAGTTGAACATCGACCAGGATCGAAGATGCAGCATGCAGATGCACTCAGCCGAAATCCCTGTATGACAATTGTAACCAACAGTCTTCATGATCAGATAAGAATGGCTCAGCAGAACGACGAAGGATTAAAAGCCATATTTTATGTGAGGTATTGCATAGTAATTCTTATCTAGATTATTGGATTGATAATGGACTTCTTTACAAGGGAGAACAAAAGCTGCTGGTCATACCAAGGTGTCTAGAGAATGAGATTATTAAACAGGTGCATAGCAATGGTCATTTTTCTGTGAGAAAAATGAAGGAATTGATTATGAAGGATTATTACATAAAAGACCTGGAAAAGAAATTACAAAACTTTGCTGTTTCATGTATACCATGTATACTTGCAACCAGAAAAGCGGGTAAGCAAGAAGGTTACCTCAATCCAATAGAAAAGGAAGGCATACCGCTGCATACACTCCATGTAGACCATGTGGGACCCTTGACTGAGACGCGGAAGCTGTATAACTACATACTGACCGTTGTGGATGCATTTACCAAATTCACATGGTTGTTCCCGACTAAAAGCACCACCAGCAAAGAGACCATAGATAAGCTAAAGGTACATCAACAACACTTTGGAAATCCAGTCAGAATAATTAGTGACCGTGGAACTGCCTTCACAAGTGGTGATTTTCAAGATTTTTGCCGGGAAGAGGATATTCAACACATCACCATAACCACAGGGGTACCTAGAGGAAACGGTCAGGTTGAAAGACTGCACCGAACTATCTTGTCAGTGTTGAGGAAGCTGTGTGTTGAGAATCCATCAATGTGGTACAGACATGTGAATCGGGTGCAGAGAGCCTTGAATAGCACCTATCAAAGAAGTATAAACACTTCTCCGTTTCAGCTCATGATCGGCACTCAAATGAGATCGAGAGAAGACTTAAAAGTCCTAGAAGTATTGAGACAGGAAGAGTTAGACGAATATAACAAGGACAGAGAAGAATTAAGAATTAGGGCAAAAGAACAAATTCTCAAGGTTGAGGAAGAAAATAAGAAAACGTTTAATAGAAATAGAAAGCCTAGTTCTGAGTATCAGGTTGGAGATCTCGTGGCTATTAAAAGGACACAATTTGGAGCAGGACTGAAGCTAAAGCCGAAGTTTTTAGGTCCCTACCGTGTAACCAAATCGAAACGAAAAGACCGCTATGATGTAGAAAAGGTAGACATCAACGCTGAGGGGCCCAACAGAACATCTAGTTCAGCCGACCAGATGAAAAAGTGGCCAATGCCACTTGAGAATAAGGTAAGCAAGTGGATGGATGAAAGGTTTATGTGAATGAAAAACTGTCATCATTACTGTATCATTGTTGTTACTTTATTGTTTTGCCCTTAAAAGTACCTATAACATTTTAAGTGATATTTATGTCAATTGTAAACAACCTATAACAATGTAATACTTTACTTTTACTGTTGAAATATGGAGTATTTGTCATGTTACTAATCTTTTTGTAATAATAATAACTTACTACTAGTTGACCGACCGAATATTCGTTTTCGTTTTCGTTTTCGGCCATTTTCGGCCAAAAATGGACATTCGGCCATATTTTCGTTTTCGGCCAAAAACCAGCCGAAGCTTCGGCCAAACCGAATATCAGAAATACGTAAATAAGATGGGGACGTTTATCGTTCCGATATCTTCGGAAGTGAATCTAATGCACTCATGGTTCCAATCAGACTAGAACGGACGCGGTATTGTCACACTCTTTTGAAGTTTTGAAGTGAGGTTACGTTGTAATGGGTGTCCAGCGAAAATTTTCCAAGTTGAAATCGAATACAAATAAGACCAGTTTTCATTAAGTTTAATTGTTTCAAAATAGAGTCTAATGTGGATTTGAAATGTTCGCAGTTGNTAATTTGATTGTAACTGCTTCTTTCTTGAAAATGTTGGTCATTTTAGGACTGGGTTGGTCTGTATAACTGTAACTAGAAATATTTTATTGGTACCTATACCTTATACATAATAAAATTACCAAATTATGTAAGTTCAGTTTAATATTTATCTTAGTTTTGGAAATGTTTTGATATGTCTTTATTAAATTAATAATAGTGCTTTGCATATTGGGCCGTGATCCACTGTAAGCATAAGATTAACTATTTGCTCTAATTGTACAAATTAGATATACATAAGCATGTTAAAGGTCGTGAATTATGAATGCAATTAGGTAATGAAAGTGATGATTGAATGTGGGTTGTGGTTGATTGCGTGGTACGAAAGGTTCTATGTTTCTTGTATGGATGTCTGAGGCCAGACATTGTATCAGGATGGCCGAATGTAGGATTGCAACACTGAGTGAACGAGAGAGCGATAGGAGGGAGTGAGAGGGAAGGAAGAAGGAACATGGCGGCACGACGGTTACGGACAAAGTTGTAGCTCTGTATTAAATTGAAGAAAAATAAACGTATCATTGAAGAAAGTGCATTTCCTTGCGAAGCCCCGTCCCTACATGTATGTCCGTAAACATATCGTCAGTGGAAAGGAAAAAAGACTAAAGCGCCAAAACCGTACTTGTGGGAAATGAAGATCAAAGTTTTTTTTTTACGAAAAAAATTCGTATCTCTTTTGATATTAATGTTAAAACAGTTNGTGAGTGAGAGGGAAGGAAAAAAGCACATGGCGGCACGACGGTTACGGACAAAGTTGTAGCTCTGTATTAAATTGAAGAAAAATAAACGTATCATTGAAGAAAGTGCATTTCCTTGCGAAGCCCCGTCCCTACATATATATATATATAATATAGTTGGGATTGAAACGGTAAGAAATATAATTTCTATAAATATAATTTAACATTAAAAGTGCATTTGTTACAAACAGCTTTCTGTATTGTTTTCGAAAAAACAAAGATCGTTCATAAAGAAAATAAACATCTAACTCTTTCATCCTTTGATAAAATTTATGAGTGTATAATTGGGTGTGGTTAAGTGGTTATGTATTCTATTTATTATTTAAAAGCAAAAAGTGTGCAGTTCCATATAAGGTTTTGGAGGATGGATGGTTGTAGACAAAGAATAAGAAAAAAAAAGTCTATTTGCTATATCAAAATCATATTGTCAGTGAAGTCGCACGTAGTACCAACACCTGTACCGTACCGGGCGAACAAAAAATACTTTGATTGTTTACGATTCCGATTGTAGAGGTAACATTAAGTCTACTTTTAGATACAATTCTTTAAATAGCTTTGGAAGACAGATGTTTATTCCAGTAACTATCGATTCTTATCCAACCTCTATAGGAGTCAACGTCACGTAAACTTTAATTGAAAACTTCGGTTGCTCAGACTGTACGTGGAGATTACCTTTTCAACTTTGCTTTTTAGAAAAACTTCTTAAACTTAAGGTAAATCCGTTAGCACTTAAGTGGCAACTTTTAGTCGTTTATCTTATTATACGAAATGGATAAAGAGTTAGAGGTTAATTTAAATAAGTTTTTACTCCCAGACACTGATTTCTACCAACTTTATAACGAAAATTGGGTTAGTTAACATTCATCTGACAGGCACTCAAATTAGTGTAAAGATTTTTATTACATTAAAACTTGTTATTATGTTTAAAACTTGACATTCTCGATCTCAACCGTAGTTTACCAAATTCATATTTTAGTTTCTTTTGTTTCTGAATAAAAAATCTGTAGGTATTTTTGATTAAAAATCTCTGTAAAAAAAAAGATTAACATATAAGAGCTATTCTCGAAATATTTTTTAAATCTTTCTTGTCTTTAAACCTATGCTTTAGCTCTAATTGTAACTTAGAATCGTGTAAAAATGCATTTTGCTTTGATTAGTTACTAAGCTAATCTGTGTATTGGACACCGTCCCATATAAATGAGCCAATCTTGACTAATTATTTACAAGAAAACGTCTTTTACATAAAATATAAGTACATAGTCTATATCAGGAACAGATATTGATAAATTAATTAACTTCAATTGCTAAGAACATTAAGATAAGCACCAACGCAGGCAAGCCGTAGTACTATTATCGTCATCCTTTGTGTTGTCAGCTTACGTGGTTAAAACAAAAAAGATCCGGGGAACGCGGGTTCGGTCCCCGCCGCCGCTCGACTATTGTGGTGAGCTCACTCGTGACACAAGCATATTTAGCTTAGTACGAGGGGCTAACGGGACTATTAGTAATTTGTGTAATAACAAATTACTAATAATCTTTTAAAAAAAAAAAAAACAAAAAAAAAAACAAGTAATTAATAATAATGTACTTGCTGATAAATTGGAACGAGAAGTACAAGGGTTGAGAGTGACAATAAAAAAACAGAGAACGAAAGTTGGTGATAAGGAGCTTTTTCAGCTCGTTGGACTCCCAAAATAATTATTGAGTTGCAAATTTTCATTACCTTCTTCCATCTAGTATCTACTAAAAAAATTTAAAATTACATCACGATGTAAATCTCTAATATTATAATATTTTATTTATTTATTTTCTCTTCACAAAATAAATAGGAATCCCAAAAGACATAAAATTAACGGTGTTTTTCTGGTGCCTGAAGTAAGTTTCGGAGAAACCTGAGAAACGATTAAATAAATACTTACATACAATAAGCTTCTATTTTTAGGTAACTACAGATATTATTGTTTTTGACATGCCCTTACGAACATGTCAAGATAAATGCTGAGCTCGAGCCTATTGGCGTAGTGGCCCAGTAATTTTCTTTTTTTCTTTTCGTTTTTCTTTCTTTTCGCGTTGTGTTGCTATTGTTTATAAATGTGTACTCACTGTGTTCAATAAAGTCCATTCTATTCTATGTTATATTGTTTTTGGATACGACTTATATGTAAATAGGTTATTATATCCTACACAAAATAAGGTAAAAGCTTCCAAGTAACGCTTCTAAGTGGTAAAATATTATATAACCCACCATATTGGCATAAAAGATAATCCTTCCATAAATGTAGAGCAAGTTGAACACGCGATCCCAGTCACTTTTCTAGCTTAGCATTTGATTAATATTTATTATAGTCACGAAGATAAGTGACATTTACAAAGCGAATGAAAACTCTACGTTGCATATTATGACAAGATTTACGATGCAAAAACAAAAGCTGATCTACAAAGTTAAATTACTCGTACGTCTTGATTTGATTTGTTTTGTCTTAAAATCTATAGCCGACGTCACCCTGAAGTTTAAATAAATCTTTATTTATTTGAGTTTTCTTCTTCTACAAATAAACGAAAAAGTACGAAAGTTATTCTTATAAGTCGGCGGACGCTACATTTAAGTTGTCCCTTTTCTAATCGAGCTACCAAATCGCTAATGCAAAGTGATAGCAGGCCAAATGCCATCCCTTCTTATAGCATTATTCTTTTGTTTTTTCTTTTGAAACTTTTTTCATCTGAGCATCACGTAATCTCATTTCAAAGTCACCAACAAACAATTGTAACACAAACCATGACTCTAGCAAATTATAGTTTAAAAATAGCTGAGCCGTGTTACACATTTGACAAGATGATAAATGTCCGCGAGCCATAGCCCAAGACGAGCTAGTTTTTAGAGTCTTGGCACGCTTCGTGAATAAAAAAGTTTTAGAGAGATTATAGCGCAAATGATAAATTTAAATCACGGCCTACGAGCAATTATGGAAAATGGAAGCTTTATATTATTCTATTTATTTAGGTTAAACCTAACTCAACATTGGGCTGGCTGTGAATTTTGTATTTAAAAATAATGTTATGTGCTTGTTCATTATGAAGAGCTTTGCACATAAAATAATATTGTAAATAAAATGTAAAATGCTTTTATTATTATTATTCGTGAAAACCGTTTTGAATTTAGGTATAAACAGAGGTATAAATGGCACGCGTCAAACACTTAGCAGGCTTTCAAAATGACTAAATCCAGATCTTACTAATATTAATATTTTATCACCAAAGAGTCAAATATAATCAAGGTTTAATTAAATAATGGGCCCGTTTACATTTTAAACGGGCTTTTAAAAATAAAGTTCAGACAGGGCTTTATACTAAAAACTTTTTTCAGCGAAAGTTCGCAATTTTTCACGTTATTTATTTTCTTCATAGGTATAAATAATAACTATACCGCAAATTGTTTAAGCGACTTAAAATATTTTTTAAAAATATTATTTATGTCATTCTTGTTTTATTTCCTGGAAAAAGCAAAAGATTTTACGTGAAGGTTGGCAATCAGAGTTTTTGTCTTTCCAATCTGTCCATTACACCCTTCCCATTTTTAATTGCGTTAATTGAAAGTCAAAACATCGTGGAAAACAAAATCACAAAAACAAAAACCAACCAATGCCTTTATTCGAGTGTTGAGTATCTGCAACTGACATCGGGAAAACACTTTTCATTCAGTTTCCTCGCTGTACAGTCGGCGGCGTTGAGGCGGCGGTCGGCGACTCGGCCCCAGTGCTCGGCTTGACTCGGCGATCAGTGCACGCCACGTCGTTCCGCGCCCGCTGAATTTCGCGTAATTACTATCAGTCGCACGGTTTATATCACAAATTACCGCAATGGACAGTACTCTGATTGGATTTGACAGAACGTAAGTACTTTTTTTGGAAGCAACTTTTTTGTGTTTCAAAATTGGAACAGGAATAGAAAACTTTTTTGAAAGAAAACAAACTTTGCGTTAAAAATGTTTTAATAAACTTTCAGTTGTTAATAGTTTTATTAGAGCGTGCGTACGAGTATATTTGTGGATATCAGTGAAAATAAATCGTTCGTAACGGGGTTTGATGAATGAAAAGACATATAAAAAGTCGTAAAAACACGGTGTCGAAAATAAATTAGATAAACGGCGAACAGGTTTCGGCGGCCATGTTTGTTTTTCTCAATTAAACATTTCGTTATCGTTCGTCAATATCAAATTAGGTGCTGATGAGATTGCGCATTTCATTATTTTAATTAGAATCTATTGATTATTTTGTCTTTAGTAAAGTTGAGATGAAAGTATCTTGATGAATGTCGAAGTTGGGAGAAGTTTTTGGTGAAATGTCTTATATTTGTACGCATATAAGGAAAATGTTTTTCTCCGAGTAAGTAGCATAATATCTAATCACACTTGAGTAGCACCCGGAAACGTAGCCTTAACAGATGAATGAGAAATAATTACGGCAGCATGAGACACGAGATAAATCGACTCATTATGAAAATTACATTACACAAGTGCGATGTAGAACAAACACAGATTTTCACATAGCTGTTCAATGTGTACCTTTGTATGTACTAGTTAGTACAAAATATTTTTAATTGAGAATGCTAAAAATATAGAGAAAGTGCATTTTAAACTAGTTCCAAGCTAGTCTTGATTGATAGTCCAGAAAATCATGTGAAAGGTCAATTTAAATGATGCTGGTTCACCCTTTGAAGTAATTAACGTAGTTTGGCATTTGTATTTGAATTCGTACCTAACTGAATTGCAATTCATTCGTTCGTCAAAAAAGATTAGTTACTAGTAGCAGCACCCTGTGGTTTGAAGAGATTAATATTTTTCTTTTTCTGTAAGTACCAATTAAATTCATTTAAAGATCAAAGCGATCACTAAAACGACCACTTGCTTACAAATAGATTAAATGATCTCAGTATAATTATGTGCCCACTAATATAAAATACGATATACTGTCACGTTGATTGTATGAGTAGGACTCAATGTGTCGCCATCTCAGATCATAGATGATCTGAGGTCGCCATTGATTTCTGACATGGCTCGTAGACACACCTACATTTCGGCTTCACAACTCCCAAACCGGGAAAAAATACATACGAGTGATTCCATTTTAACACAACAATACTGAAACAAAATAAGTAGGTGATTTTTCACAAATTATGCGAATTTTTGGGAATCCAATACCTACATACCTAGCGTAGAAATTTTACCTCTGGAACACGGCCGAGTATACAAACTAGTGTCACGTTCTATTGTTGTACTTTGATCCACCAAGATTGGTTCTTTGATTGTCCCAGCAGGCGACTCGGACAAACAGTTTATATAGGGTGTTTAAGTCGCTGGCATCTTTTTAAAATGAGCCTCTACTCATGATACATAGTATTATTATTACATTGGATTTCCTCAATTAAGATACAAATCCAATGTGTTAAAATTGCAAATACCTACTAATATAAGGGAGAGTCCGCTAATTTGGACCAGTTTTTTTCAATCCAATTTTACACATAGTTTTCTTTTGTTTTTGCTAATGTCCATGGTATATAATAAAAGATACATTATTCAACTTACTATTTCATAAGTATTAATTAACATGATTGTTGTATATTTAGCACAAATCAACAAAGTACGAGTTCAGAGCTTCGGTCCAATTTAGCCAACCGGTTCGATAAATAATTTGTACCACAGGGTTACTAAATTGGATTTCAATAAATTTTAAGCCTATAAAAAAACTGTGGCAAAATATTATGCGATACATTCTTAACAAATTAGGAAACGAAAAGGAGCAGTAGTTAATAACATAGACAATCGATATTGTTTTACACGTTATCACGATTTTAATTACAAGTTTTGTAATTTCAATTATCGTAACGCACACTTGTTCCTAATCTACTTTGCCAGTCTTTTGCTTTCATTTATTGTTAGTCAAACATAACTACGCTATTATAACTTCAAAATATGATTTACTAAAAAAAATTCAAAATCCTTTGGTAAAGTTCCATACAACTTGATGTGGTACAATTTAGCCGACTAGGTGATAGTGCTTTTAAAAAATCGGTAAAAAATATAGCTTATAAATACCGAAAAATGTTTCAAATAATTGTAATCCACACTAATTTACGCTTCGAAATAATATATTAGACTGTTAAATTTAATCACAGGGTGTTTCCCTGTGATTAAATTTAACAAAATTACAAACTAAACATGTATTGTCAAAAGTTACTTGAAAACAATGAACAAATATTTTTCAAAATAAAACACACGTGTTTGTTGTCACGGCAAAAACCACATGGCCGATATTAATTGATTTTAGTTGTATATCGCTGAGTGTTGCAATTACAGACATTCAATAAATACTTTACGAAATATGAGGGTGGTACAATTTACCCGGCGGCTCTCCCCTAATTCATACTTTGTAGGTACATAGGACGGGACATCAAGCTTAACACTGGCATCTTATTTCGACAATAGGTATATCTATACAATCGTTATAAACTCTGATGAGCACACTAACACAAATAAATAGTAAAAACAAAGACAAAAAACTCATAGGATTTGTCTCATATTTGGAAAATATTACTGAGTATCATGAGTAGATAAGTTTAAATTTCATCCTGTATACATCAGTTTATATGGCGATATGTGGCTTCGGAGCGAGGTGTCAAAATAATTGGGTCTGCTGGGGTGAAGATCTGTTCATGCTCAATGCACTAACGACATCAGATCAGTGACAAGCAATGATTACTTTGGTTTGTCACATTTAAGGAGAAGTAGAATCGTGGTAAAATAATAAGCTGCATTATGTTTGAGAAGTTTATCAAACATTTTCGTCAACATTTATCAGAACAATAAAATTTTAATCTTTATACCCATGATGACGTATATTTATAACCGGTAAATCGGTTCAACTCAACATCCATTTACTATAATTACGTTTGTTCAGTACCTACCTACACGAATATCGATAAGGGAAAACACTGAAGGATTGGAAAATATTAAGATTGTTGTTTTTGTCCGTTTACATAAGTTGGTTACTTGGAGGGGAAAGGCGTGGCATAATAATATTTCGAGACAAACACATATTCTAAATACATTAGAATGGGACATAGAACCAAAGCACGAATCATCAATTTATAAGACAGTCAGAAATAAGTCGTAGCATCCTGATTAAATTTTGCTCCGCAGCGTTGAGGCGCCGTCCAATCATAAACAAAATTAAGGAACTAATCTTAACCGTATTCACAAACGATGCTTGCTTAAGTGAAGCAGCAAATCGCACAGCGTTGAATTAGAACTCTGTGATTGGTTCGTGTGTCACCCTGTGCATCCACGCGTACTGTGAGACCTCATAGTAATGCTTGTGAATACGGGCGTCAGTGTTCTACATACAATATAACTCAAGATGGCAAGTGTCATTTGAGCCACTACACGTCTTTAGCAAGTGAAAAATGATCCTTCGAATTATGGGAAATATCATTTCGGCAGGATTCATAAATACTCGTATGTCACAAAAACGAACCTTCCTGCTGAGAAGTCTCTAAGTTTACTATATCACATTTCTATAAATAACCTTATCATTTACTAAACAAAGAAAACAGTGTTACATTTAATTATTTCTGTTGATTAACTGTTACTTTTTGCTAGGCTATAGAATTCCGGCGTTCGGTAGGTATTCTTATTGCGATTTTGAGTTCTTCACTATTATAAAGTAGGTACACTTTTCTTCAAATCTAAGTAAGTACCAACTCAGTAATCTTGGACCTGGTAATTTTACTTCAAGAACAAATTATTAGTTTAATCCAAAAAGAAAATTCTTATAATGAAATTGTTTAACAGGAATCATCTAATCATAGAGTTACCCTAGGGCGAAAGAAAATGAAACGTTTACATAGAATTAAGAAGAAACCAAGTTGCCGAAATGATGTTTATTCCAAGTAATTACTTCTTGTTTATGTAAGCCGTTCCATAATCTTATTAAAGATCAACGAGTAATATTAACGTAAATTGTTACAGAGTGACATAATTAGTTAACGTTAATCACGTTATGTTGTTTCCTCTTTGGATACATATTGTAGGGTTGATTATAATATCTGACAGAAACGTTTTGGGTTTAAGGGTGGTGGCCCTGGGCGTTCTCTCTAACATATAACGTGTAGTCTGACATCATGATCAGGGTGATTTGATGTCCGAGTTTATGAGATATTATATTAAGATGTTACTTCATAAGGTAAATGAAGAAGTGAGTGAAACTGAGTGAGTTTATTATTTGCTTTAATATTCCACACAATAATTGGTCACTAATACTTGGTATCCAAATCTGTGATAACTAAATGCTGAAACTTTGAACTAGGGTTCAACTCGTGCGTGACTTTTTAGTAAGAGTATTTCGTTGAGTCCTGTTGGAAATATGCATGAAATTGACGATAACTTATTCAAGTGCAAACCCTTGCAGCAAAAGATTGGCACGTGATATTCAAAGTAAAAATTGGGAAAAAGCAATTAACGGGAGTGTATGTACATATGTACCTATACGTCGCCATCCAAAAGTATTAATGAAAAAAGATAATCCAATTTTCAAATTATTAAAAATTTTAAAAATGTGAGACAGCAAAAGACTAGCGACCCGCCCCTGCTTCGGATCGGATAGGTAAAATGAACATTAAACTTAAAAACCTTCCTCTTGAATCACGTATATCAAAAAAACAAAATCAAAATCCGTTAAGTAGTTTTAAAGATCTAAGCAAACATAGGGACAGACAGATCAAATTCAAAGACAGGAAATCAGGAAAGCGACTTTGTTTTATGTCATGTAGTGATTACCTGTAGGTAGGCTTCTAAACTTGACACCTAGAAAACTCGTTGCAATAAATATCTACAGA